TCCACAGGTCGCTTTGGTTGCTGGAGCCAAAGCCGAACGAACAATTCGCAGATGCCCCGTGCCCATGTTCGAGGCGTGCCACGACCTCCAAAGATCGGAGACTAGAAGAACCTTTTTTGGGACCACTAAACATGGAAAGATGGGAAACCAAAAGGTAAGGTCGGCTTTGGGCAAGTGAGTAACTTGGCCGGACACCCAAGTGGGAAGCCAACCTGGGGGCAGAGCCCCCCCCAGTTAGCACGCGCCGCGGCACGAATCCACGTGGTTCAGGGTGAGCTGCACCATGGTGAGCCCAGCAAACCACTCCTCAGCCGACCACCCCAAGATGTCATGGGAAACATATGCCTGGACCCGCAAAATTCCAACTTAAAAACGGGCTACTGCCCCGAAATTATAAGGAATTCCCTGTTTATGGGTAGTTTGAGGGTTCAGGTAAACATCAGGGCGAAAGTAGATGGCGCGGGTTCCTTGGTGTGAGCTTTCCTTTTTGGGGGAGCCCTTGGTGGACATCATTTAGGTGGGGATTTATGTCCAACAACCACTTTTGAGGGCTTCCCCTTTGCAGTTCATGGCATGAGGGGACGACTAAGCCAGCATTTCGGGAATCGCGCCATTGTAAGCCCTCAGGAAGTCAGCTTTGTTCTGCAGTTCCTCCACTTGGGCTTGCGGGAGAACGTACTCGCCACTAACATGAGCATCAAGTCGTTTTGAGCATTGTTCAGCTGAGTCTTCATGTTGGATTGCATCTTTCTTGTTTGAGCATCATCCATCTCAGATTCATCAGCCTTGGTTGGGGCGCGGAAGCTTCTGCGCCTAGGCTGTTGTGTCACCCCTCCCGCAGGCTTCTCGCGTAGGCATTGTTTGGTTCAATGCTGTTTGTTTGCCAAGTATGAAGGAGTTTGCCCTTCAGTGTTTGTGCAGTCTTCGCGTAGGCTACCCGTAGGTCCCGCGCACGCATTCGCTTAGGCTTTCAAGGCATTTCTAATATGCAGGCCTGTCCTAGCAGCCAGATCCTGGGACAGATGTTGGGTTCTCACTTGAGCACCAACTTTGAAGGCATTTCGTAAGAGAGTGTGCGTGTGTGTGTGTGTGTCGGTTGGCTGGAGTAGTATTCCACTGGAAAGCGCCGGGAACCCCGAAAGCATAGACATGCATGTCAATTGCCAAGCTTGCTTTTTTGAATGTATTTGAGGATGCTGGGTCAATGGCACCGGAAATCTGAGGCACCCCATAGACATGTATCTCACTGCTTTGTTATTAAGGCTGTGGAATCAACGGCGTAGAGTCGAGGGCCAGAGGCTGCCTAGAAAGGCGCTCTTGGCAAAAATTGGGTTGGCTATCTGAATGCCTTTGCTACAATGCTACAAGTCTCATAAATGCACCTCTCTTAGGCAAAAGCTGGGCCCCTTTCCGCGGCAGCCGCAGGCTGGGTCTCCTCTCTCTCGCTCAGCCTCACGCAGGCGCTCGGGCCGCAAGGGGATCAGAGGCACAGACGGGCGGTGGGGGATGATCAACATGGTGTTGCAAAATGGGACTCGCAGTGTGGTGCGGATGGGATTTTTGTTGATTCTGTGCCCAACCAAATTTGGCAAGACGACATAGGCTTGCTCCAAACGAAGTGTTGTTTGATGAGGGGTCGTGCCTCCTGTAAGGAAACAAGCAGGTGGTGTCTCCACCAAGTTGGTGTGTATTTACGTGACCAGTAGTTCAAACAACAAGCAATCATGTCTTGCCTGTGGCTGGGGAGCCCGTCACGTGTTCTTTTTTTTTTGCTCCAAACCTGTTGTGAATGCCGAACTTCCCCTTTGCCCGTGCTAGCCGGGAATCGGGAAGGCTCTCAATCGCGTCAACGCGCAGTGGACAAGACAGCACCCTTTGAGGCGGGGACGGGTTCGCCCTTTCGACCTTCGACCGACCTGCAAGAACCCAAGGCATTTGGTCAATGACCACTGCACGCAGACGGCTTTCCTTTGGCCCAATCAGAGCACCTTTGAGTCAGTTTGCGGGGCTTGCGAGTTTAAGGCAAGCATTTCTTTTCATTGCCCTGAGACAAGGTCACAATAGGCAAGCAAATGTCATTTTTTGTAGCAATCACAAGTCCATCTATCGTGCAGGTGGGCATTTCAGTTCGTTGTCATCAGGTCGGCACGGCCCAAGCCAGGCAGCAACCAAAGTGTTGAGCACAAGTTAACGTAAACAAGTTATTTGCTCGACGTGAGATGGGGATGGCGGTGCTTTTTGCTCCCAGGCCGTCATGATTTTGTGTGTGGGCAGCGCGTGTTTGCTGTGCCTGTGCCTTGTGTCATTGGTGCTTACCCTTGGAGGCCTTTGGCCAAAGTAGCATGCCCCCCTTTGCAAGTCTGCAAGGCTGTTCACATCAGCTTCTTGGCAGTCTGGCATTTCTAGGCACGGTCATCCCGCTACATTCTTGACAGGGTATCCTTTTTGTTTTGTTGGACCATCAAGTCAGAAAGCAACAGCTCCAGGTTCAACACCCTGGCAACAAGCAGATAGAAGCAACGCCCCCATGTTCGTTTTTGCTGTTGCGCCCTGCATGAGGTGGTCCTGGTCTAGCACTAGCACCTGAAATCCTGAGCCGTGCGGGTGTTACAAACAGCCCCGCACACTTGGCCATGGCAGTGCTAATCAGCGCGAGGGCTAGTCCCTGATTGATTTTTCACCCAGCGGAGCACAAGCTGATGTTAAGCATTGTGAGGATACGTCCTGGCCAGCTGGGCACGAAATCTTTGCCTGGCAGTTGGCAGCTTGCAGCCCGTGTCAGTTAGTCCTTTAGCACCCCAGTGGTATACCACGGAACGTGCCTCTAATGCGTTGCGCTCAACTGCAAGCCTCCCCAGTCCATCATTTTGACTGCGCTCAGGGGTTGTCGAACTCAGAAACTCGGGTTGTTCCCCCTTTACCGACCACTGGCGGAGTGACTTTGCTAATTGCAAAGAAATGGGGCCAGAGAAAACTTTGGGGAAAAGAAATGCCTTGTTATGCCTTTTGTGCAGTTGAGCCTTTGCCACTTCAACAACCCAATCATGACGGGTTCGCTCAAATCGTTCCCACGGGCAGAACACAGCGAGCAAGTTCAGATTCTACATTGGCATCCCGTGGCGTGTTACGGAGGCACTGTCACGTGCGTTGTATTGTTTGAGGCGATTTGGCTGAAGGCAAAGTGCCGGCTTCATGTTCCACTCCCATCTGCAAAAAACAAAAACACACACGTTTCCTTTGTCTCTCACGCTTGTCTTTTGTCAACCAGTGGGTTTCGAAGGAAGGCGCGAGTATTGCAGGCCCTTCGCTTTGAGGTTCGAGCGCTGCGCGACTGTTTGAATAGTGACCAGGTGCGACAAACACGCACACCTTGATTGGTGCTTTGGACAAAGCTGGGACGGTGTCAGACATGTTGCATGATGCTGTTGACAACTGACGGAGCATGATGAAGCGCACAGTGTGATGTAGAACAGCAATACATGCATGGGGGTGGGAGGACAGTTGGTGGCATACAATGTCTAAGGCATTCTAAGGCCATGCACAGACAACCAATCCAGTAGCCCTTGTTGTCGAGGGTTGAAGTCACTTAGAAGTCATTGTTTTGAACGACTTTTGGGCCCACAAAAAGGGGAGCGCATTGAGACGAGGACTCAAGACGACCACCCACGATTACTTGATTGGGCAGTCTCAAGTTAATGCCGAGAAGGCCTCTCAGAGAGGACCCGCATTGTCAACCGTTTCCAAAGCACCGCTCCGTGCTTCGTGTCACACGAACACTTTAGGCGCGCGAGGGAGACGCCGCTCCTTGGGATGCCCAGGAGCTTACACGTTCGGATGTTTCTCTTGGCAGTCAAAGCTTGGTGCCGCTGTGTCACCGGCCAAAAGTGCGTCCCTTCGGACATGCGTTTGGCTGGACCATGTGCGGAAGGAGTCGCGCGCACGCTCGCCCTTGCAAAATAGAAGCTTGACAGGGCGCCTTTGCTGCTGCTGCTGCTGCTGCTGCTGCTGCTGCTGCTGCTGCTGCTGCTGCTGCTGCTGCTGCTGCTGCTGCTGCTGCTGCTGCTGCTGCTGCTCTTCTTCGTTTGTTTGTTGATTTTGTGCTTCCACAATTTTGCTTGCCATGTTGGAGTCTTTCACGACCGCCTTCAGCCCCAGTGCTGTTTGTTTTTGTTGTGAACGACGAATTCATCAGCATGTCGACGCCGAGTGTTCAAAAAGGCAAACGTGCTGTGGAACCCTCGTTTTAGACGACATGATTTTAGACCCGGCTTCCTGTCGTGAAGAGGGACCTGCGAGCAAGACGGATTTTCGCTGAATATCAACCACCTTGGAACCCTTGTTTGATCCCACTGCTTTAAAGGACCTGGTGAACCAGCAGGCGCTTCAGACCGTGCCCTTTTTCACAGCAGCTATCAAAATCTGCTGCCCTTCTTCTTCCTGATTTTGGTTGTTTTGCTTGTTGGCTCTGGCTGGGTTTTGAGTATGGTGCAGGGCAAGCCTTAGGTTGCTGGCATGGGCTCGTATTCCAGAATGCTTTTTGTGGGATGGGATCATTTGCCCAGTGCTGAAGCTGGGCTTAGTGGACCTCTTGATGGGTGCCGGTTGGGTCAGATTGGAATGGCATGGGGTTGACGTGGAACCAACATGCTCCCTGCTGTGGCATTTTGCCTGTGCACCACAGTCGTGCTAGCTGTTTGGTCTAACATGTCGGTGTGGTGCCTGCAGCAACCTTGCACATGTTTGGTGCCTCCCCGTCATATCACCTTAGGAGCTATGCTCAGCTGGATTTTTAGGCAATCATGCTTGTAATGATGAGGCTTGTCGATCCGCAAGCCTCGATTCCACTTATGAACAAGACGCACACAACTCCCATCCAACATTTGGTTGGCCAGCAAGCGCCCTTGACACGGGAGCCAACGCGGGAAGGTGTGACCCTTCCAAATGATCTGGTCAGCCTTGGTTTTCTTTGTGGCCTTACAATGCCATGTGAGTTCTGCCAGGCAAACTGCCGAGGCCTACCGCCTAGGCTGGGGGCGGGCCCAGCTGTTCTTTGTTTCCTTGTTTGCAGCGTAAGGCCAGACATGAGAGCTAGCGTGCCATGAAATCCTGGAAACGTCAACACAACGTTCGCTTGAACTTTAAACGTCATCCAGGACAGATTATTGGTTAGGGCTTACGTATTTAGGATAGGTTTGCTTGAATGGAAGAGAATGGCTCAGAGGAACAGAGTACCTTTGGCATGCCTTTGACAGCTTTCATGCTCTCAGCTTCTCAGAAAGCACCTCCCTTTGGGGGATGCAGGGTTCCACAGGAACCGATGTGAAACGCCATGAACTATGCAAGACGTGCATGTTGCATGCTGCTAAGATCGGTTTGAGGAGTAGGGCTTATGTTTGCAGACAGTGGACATCCCGTTGAGCGATTGAGTTTCGGTTGAGTCATTCCCTTCGTCTTGCGGCAGGGCAGTTGGCAAGCACTGGGGAGCTGGCCTCAGATTGTCCAGTGATGTGAATGGGAAATCGGGCCCGCGGGTTGGTTTGCCCAAGGGAGAGGGATAAAGCCTCAACCAGAGAGGGGTCAGCAAGAAGCATGGACAGACCAAGCAGGCAATTGGAGATGCGGACAGTGATCACCTTTTCGAAAGCACGCGTTTTTTCGGGAAAAGGTCGCTGCTATTTGCAGAGGAACTCAACTTCAGCATGTTCAGAGGGTTCATGCAACCGAATACAAGGCAACAGTTTTACAGGCACTTGACAAGAAGAACCGTCACAATGTTACCAAGGGACATGTTTTACAGCAGAATCCCATCAGTTTCACCGGAGGAAAGCATAGTGCAACTTCCTGCCTGTGCTTCTTCCAAGCCTCGGCAATCTGTCAATCCAACAGCAAACATGGAGGTGAATGTCCGCTCCGAGGCGTTTTTGGACCCATCAAAGGTGCGAAAAGCCCAGGATCCATTCCTTTTGTGAAGCCGGATTTGCTTTTATTCCAACATTCGCATCCACTGAGGGGGAAAGCATTCGGCTTCTATTTTCAAGGATCATGGCAAGAGCTAGTTGCAGAGGGAGATTATTTGTAGCCTTTTTGGCCATTGGATGGGGTCTTTAGGACTTGTCCTAGACCCCCTCCAGGAGGAAGATACTTTATTTGTGTCGACGTAGCTCTGAGGTTTGCTTAGGCCACCGAAGACAAGAAATCGTAGGCTGCCTTTAGTTGTTGTATGTATGTTCTTGAGAAGGTGCAGTACGCATTGCGCGTTTTTTTTTTCCCCGGAGCATAGAGCGATTTGCGCTGGTCACTACCGAAATCATTTCAGGATAAGAAACCATGGGATGCGAAGCAAGATGCCAAGGTGGCAGCAAGCTTGGAGGAGTGCAACGTCCGATCGAAACAAACAAACAAACAAACAGGGGGTGGACAGAGGAGCTGATGTTCGGCCATGAAAGTTGGCGTGCCTTTTTTGTTGATTCGGGCTGGTGTTCCTTCAAAGCCACCGGATGAGGGGTAGCCTCAGAAATTCACACACCCAAATGGATCACCTGCGCCATTGTCTGGCTTTTGACTCTTTGGGTTTGAAGTTGGCAGGTTCTTCTAGGCGAAGCTAAGAGTTTTTGTTGCTCAAACTCGCATGCCTTTTTGGCACATGTGTTGCTTTCCATGCTGCTTGGCCAAGCTGTATCGAAACAATTTGCCAGCGCTGATTTTGCATCAACACGAAGTGGTGCGTTGCAGCAGAAGACTTCTTTGGCCAGCTGTGCTACTCAACAAGACCACCACGCTTATGTGGCGCTTGCTGGACCAAGTGGACGAACAGGTGCAGTGCTTGAGCTCTCACAACTGTGGCAGGTAGTTTCTGTCGAGTATCGCTCCAGTTCCCGGTGGAAAAGAATGACATGAGGCCGCTTACTTTTGTCAATGCCCAGTCCAAAAATGCCAGGAGGCAGAGTGCAACTGCCAGACTCATTGATGCTTCTGGGCTTTCAATCGGGAATTGATGGAAGATCCACGCTGGAATTCAGTGGACGGCGCAAAAAGCTGCAGGAATCCGTGCAGCAGATGGGTGGGGAATTGGCCAAGGCCTGCGGCACTGCCAACCGTTGCGGCGTGACACAGGTCTTTGCAGTAAGCGAGCGGACTCGAAAGGGCTTTATTGGGGTTCAACAAATTATCATGAAGGCCCCTTACTAGGTAACAAGTGCAGACTTATGGCAACACGTTATTGACTTGTGGTAATGGCCCTTGTTCACGTACTACTGAGTTCTAGTAACACCTAACTTGTTACTCCTGAATTCACGTTCGTGACTTATGGTCACACAGACCTTGTGAGCGCCCAGGATTTAAAAAAAACCTCGCAAGGCCCTCAAAGCTTGGAGGCGCTTGGCTGAGCTCTTAGCCTCAAAGCCTTGAAGCCGGGAGCCACACGCCACATGCGGAAGGTTGGCCGGTCGCTGAGTCTGGAGCCAAATAGACCGCACAATGGAGATCCTGGCTGGGGGAGGGGTCTGACAAATGTGGGGAGTCATTGCAACATTTTATGCGCTCGATACATTTCAAATCATTTCAAACAGCCACAAGCTGGCAACCGGCAGATACCAGTCCCGTACGCGGCATTGTTCACAAGGCACAAGACAAACTCAGGGCGGCAGCCAAGCTTTCCAAGTTCTCAACGGATTGAGCGGATTGCAACGTTTGCCTCCGGAATGCCCATTCTTTGAAGAGTTGTAACGCCTGGTTATTTGTTGGGATGGCGATTTGTCTTGCAAAACTCAGGGCTGTATCAACAGTTTCTCTTCTCCACATAGTGAATGCGATAAATGCATGGGAACCTATTGCTCAGGGGGCGGGCGGGGGGGGGGGGGTTGGGTGACCATGCCAGTCCAAGCTGGGCCCCACGGCCAGGCACAGGATTTGACCCGGAAACTGCGGCGGCAGGAGGAGGCACGAAGTGGAGGATCGAGGTGAGGTCAAAATGTCGCCCAAGCACTCAATGCGTTGAATATATATATATATATATACATATTTACTCACAACCCTCCAAACGGGTGACATGTTGGTATATGCACGGATTGGGTTGGACGGTTGCCTAGGGATTAGCGGGGATCAGAACCATGCAGGGAGTCATGACCGTGCAGAGTCCCAATGAAGGAGCAAATTGAGGGGTGTTGACCCAGGAGGCTCTTGGCGTTGTCTCAAAGTGGTGAACCTCACACAATGGGTGCTTTCCGTTGTGGATTCCGTGTTGGTCCCCGAACGCTTCACAACTTCGCCGCGAAGTGCGTTTTGGAGCGAACCGCGCGGCATGGCAGGAAGTTCAAGGAGATCTTGTTCGGATGAAGGCGCGCGTTGGTTGGACCTGTGGCTACTTGAGCAGCGTGTTGCTTGGCTTTAAGGGCTGGTCTGAATGGATGTGAAGCACAATGCGGGTTGTCGAGTGTGCTCGTGTGTTTTCAAGTGTGTTTGTGCACTTGTGTATGTGTAGTTGTGTATGCGCTCTTGTTTATGTGTGCATCTGTTTGCTTGTGTGTTTGTTTGTGTGTTTGTTTGTCTGCTTGTTTGTTTGCTTGCTTGCTTGCTGGTTGTTGTTTTGTTGTTTGGTTGGTTGATGGATTGATGTTGTGCGTGTGTGTGTGTGTGTGCGCGCGCGTTTGGGTGCCTGTCTGCGTTTGTGTGTCCGTGTGTTGCGGTTGGTGCGTGTTTTGTGTTTTGGTGGAAACGTCTACAACATGCTCATGTATATGCGCGGGGCAGGGCACAATGTCACGCTGGTCGCTGCCCTGCATGTTTGCCAAGCTCGGCTCGGAAGGAGCGCATCAAGGCTACCAAGGACAAGCTGCTTTACCAGGAGCTGGCGGGCGCCAGGGCCGAGAGCTGTTTTTTGTTTTCGGATGTTTTTGGCGGCCTTGCCATTCGAGTACGAGGGATCCTGGAAGTCGCGCAGGAGGAACACCTGAAGCTTCAGCTGGACACCTTGCTGCAGCTGGACGCGCATCTTGCCGAAAAGGATTTCAGGGCCGAAGGCCCTTCACCAGCACTTCCCCAAACGACACTTTGTGGGTATGGACAAAATTCAGTCGTTGGAGGAAGAAAGCGGAGAAGCCAGTCCTATTTCAATCGCTTCGGCATTGGTTCCTGACAGGGCCGATGTTTCCAACTTGAGGGAACAGTTGTGTTTCGGTGAGGAGCCTCCAATGGATGTTTGATTCGTGTTTCCGAACAATGAGCTTGGGCAGCCTAGTTTACATGGAGCCCCCTCTTGCTTCATGTGAGGCTCGTGGGAGAAAGTACCCTTTGACACGGTGCCTCGCCGATTGTTCGAACTGGGTGACAGGCAATTTGATGTGTGACCCTCTGCGTCGGCAGTTGTCAAATTGCAACGCAGCAAAGTTGAAGAGGTGATGAGTATTCTTTGCGACCTTGTATCTGAATGTCGTCCAAGGGAAGTCACGTTGTTACAACAGCAGACTTGTACTTAGCCATGTTTTGGTTTCCGCCCGTGGGGTGTGGTGGACAGCTCAGGCAGAGAACCAAGTCCGAGGAGGAAGTGGAGCTCTTAACGCCTGGAGCCTCAGACCTTGGCCAGGGCTCGGGTCCTTAAATCCACGCGGAGCGATGGGCGCTGGTTGGTGGGTTTACCCCAGGATTCAAGTCGGGTTTCATCCATCCCAACTGGTGCGGAGGTATTGTCCACCAGGATCTGCGCTTTGGGGGGAGCTTGATTGGTACCAGTCAAGCCCCAGCGGTTAAGTTGCACCAATGACCAACGCAATTCCTAAGACTGCTGCGCGCTTGGCAGGAGTGGGGCCTTCTGAGATCTGTGAAGTTAGTCAGCAAGCTTCTGCCTTGCCACCCTATAGTTGTAAAGCACCGTGTTTTGCGGATTTGCGCGGCCACGTCTGGAGCCCGAATCTTCTGAGGCTTGGGCTTCATCGCCAGGAGGAGGAAAGCCAACAGGGCCTGCTGGGCCAGCCTTGTACCGTGTCAGATGCAAACACCCACAGAGTTGGCACCGGGCCAGATGCCAAGCAGTTTGGGGGGGAGTGATGGAGTGAGGGCACAAGCCGTTTCGCCACGGAGAGAGGGCACGCTTTTATCTCTGGGCTTCTTTGTCCTTTGTGTGCGGCAGTTGGGAAGCTGAAGGCCTAGGGTCCCACCCGTCCCACCCTCCAGGCCCAAAGGACTGGTCGATTGAGCCGGACCTAAAGTCGGTGGCGAGGTGTGCATTGAGTCGTTGGAGTCCGGCGCAGAACCTCACGCGCGTTCTTCTTCCCAGTCGGACAGGAGAACTCAGTCCTGGAGGAGGCCAACGAGCGAATCCTGCAGGAGGCTCCCGGGACTTGGTGGCAGGCAGCTTCTTGAAGCGCTCAACTCGATTCTGTCGGCGACTTGCGGAGCAAGAAGGGAAAAGGTTTCGCATTTCACACGGAAACGAGTATTGCTTGGTGACTAGATAGGGGAACATGTCATACCGCTTTGGCCTCCCTTGCGGCTGGGTTAAGAAGGAAGCAGCTCAAATTTGCCTTTTCGAGGTACATGGTTCCACCAATTTTT